GTGTGTGTGTGTGTGTGTGTGTGTGTGTGTGTGTGTGTGTGTGTTCAATAAAGTACAGTAAAATAAATTAAAAAGGAAGGAGGGAGCATAGGATGTGAAAATGGAAATTAGAAAGAGAGCAGCTGTTCCTTTCAACTTGAGTCTTGACTAATGAATGTGGATGACCTTCTATTGTGCAATTATTATCATATTTTAAAACAGTTTTTTTTTCTGTGATCCTGAAAAAAAATTCCTTATTAAAAGTTTTTTAGGAATACTTGCTTCTTTTAATACATTTTATTTGATCAATCCAGTGATTTCTAGCAAAAACTACATTTAATAATTGTTTTAAACAATCACTGTCAATGAATTGAAGAAACAAAAAAAGGCAAAAAGATGCAAAAAATGCAGACTTTTATTTTACAACATTCTAAAATAAAGAGGCTTTCAGGGTTAACTAAAAATCATATTATTTCTCAGCTGCTACACTGATGCACTGTCTTCCTTTTTAATGTTTTTTTTTCTTCAGTAAACTGATTTTTTGTAGTGCAGACAAATGCTGAGGCTTTCACAATTGAATTATGAAGGAAGGAAAACAATAGTTTGAAGCCAAAATGTCTCTAAAATGTTCTTATCGACCGGACCAGAGATGGATGCAGTGGTTTAATAATATGATAGTTTTAATGAAGCCATTAGCTTTGTTTTGTGTGCGTTAGTCGTGACACCATATGATTGTGTTAGTAGATAACAGTTCTGATGGATTAAGCTTGTCCTTTTTTGAAACATCGCCCAATTTTTTCTGTCAGAACTTCCAAATTGAGTGTAATCAGGAAACATAAAAAATGAAGAACTAAAATGACTAGTGTGTGACTAACGTGCTGTTATTTCTTGTTGCTGTTCCCAGGAAGCTTTTAGTGTAATGCTTTTGTCTTGTGTCATAGGAAATTGTTTTGTACTTGATTTCATTATGATTGAGATGCTATCTGCTGTAAACGTTGTTCTGTTAGTACACAAACTGCAGCAGGATCAAATTGCTACACACATGATGTCTTCACAGTCTTCTGTTTCTCCCCTCCAGGCTATCGATGCTTCAAGGCCGTGTTGTTTCTCACAGGCCTGATGTTTGGCTCTGTGGTCATCTTCATGCTGTGCTACAAGGAGAGGGTGATGGACACTCAGCTGAGTGTGGAGGCATCTGTGGGCATCGGCCTCGGCATCGGGACCCTGTGTGGCCTCGTGACCATGTTGGTCCGCAGTGTGGGGCTGTTTATGGTCGGCCTGTTGTTGGGCCTGCTGGTCGGAGTGGCATCACTGGTGGTAATGTGTTTGTTGTTTTGTTTGTTTGTTTGTTTTTCAGATGACCTATTTTTATTTTTCTGACATGTCAATATTGGCTAATGCTTTTGCACTCAAGCTTTGACGTCTCATGAAGACTGCTGAAACATCTTTAGATAGAAATAAAACATTAATCAGTACATTACTGCTAATGTAACAACATACAGCATCCTTATCAAGTTATTTTTAGTGTGTGTGTTGGGAACATGGATAGCAGTAGTAATCCTCTTATGATGCAGTTGTTGAAAGTGAGGCTACAAATGAAACCATACAAGCAGTAAACAATATATATATAT